CTATTACGTACGATCCCATAAACTATTACGTACGATCCCATACACTATTACATACGAGCCCATAAACTATTACATACGATCCCATAAACTATTACGTACGATCTCATAAACTATTACGTACGATCCCATACACTATTACATACGATCCCATAAACTATTACATACGATCCCATAAACTATTACGTACGATCCCATACACTATTACATACGAGCCCATAAACTATTACATACGATCCCATAAACTATTACGTACGATCTCATAAACTATTACATACGATCCCATAGACTATTACATACGATCCCATAAACTATTACATACGAGCCCATAAACTATTACATACGATCCCATAAACTATTACGTACGATCTCATAAACTATTACATACGATCCCATAAACTATTACATACGATCCCATAAACTATTACATACGAGCCCATAAACTATTACGTACGATCCCATAAACTATTACGTACGATCTCATAAACTATTACATACGATCCCATAAACTATTACATACGATCCCATAAACTATTATATACGATCCCATAAACTATTACATACGATCCCATACACTATTACATACGATCTCATAAACTATTACATACGATCTCATAAACTATTATATACGATCCCATACACTATTACATACGATCCCATACACTATTACATACGATCCCATAAACTATTACATACGATCTCATAAACTATTACGTACGATCCCATAAACTATTACGTACGATCCCATACACTATTACATACGAGCCCATAAACTATTACATACGATCCCATAAACTATTACGTACGATCTCATAAACTATTACGTACGATCCCATACACTATTACATACGAGCCCATAAACTATTACATACGATCCCATAAACTATTACGTACGATCTCATAAACTATTACATACGATCCCATAAACTATTACATACGATCCCATAAACTATTACGTACGATCCCATAAACCGTTTTTGAGTATATCTCTATTTCTATCATTTATTAGAAATTATTCCCGATTGTCAAAATGGTGGACAATTGGTGGTAGAAAATGGAAAACTAAGATGTTCCTATCTACCAAAAACATTCGGAGAGGATTGCAGTAAGTTCAAACAAAAAAATATCTTATCGTCTACCACCCCTTGCAGAAAAAAGGAACAAAAATGAAATAGTTGATAATGATGTGATAAAAATATAAACAAAATTGGAAAGTGTCAATTTCCCTTTGTCTTTGAAAGACACAAACAGTTTGCAGTTTGTTGGTAAATATTATTTTATTGAAATCTCTTTAATACAGGTCTAGGGGTTTGTGATATTGAGAGTGAAAACCCATGTTTAAATGGCGGTACTTGTGTTCCAACAGGCAACATATTTGATGATCCCAGCTGTACCTGCTCACCCGACAGAACTGCACCGATATGTGACCGTGAGTAGATATGGGGAAGGGGTATGGATTCTTATCAGTATCAATACCATTGACGCAGTCTTCATTATTTTGACCATTAACGCTGTCGTTAATTACCTTTTAGATATATTCCATACATCAGATTCCAACCGGAAACTGAAAACTCAGAAATCCGCCACTAATTGCTTATTTTTCGTTCGATTTTCCACACTTTTTTTATTGTTTATTCTTGCAAGAACTTCCAAGTAGACTGCAGTTTCAGAAAATCCCGTTTCGAAATGTAGATGAGTTGTAGCCAAATTGTAAATTATGATTATACAAAAACATTTTCCAAAAATGTCGGAAAATGGTCTGAAATCACCGGAAAATGCCGAAAATCAAAAAAATCTGAGTTTTCGGACTATGTTTTACAAAAACTTGCAAATTTGAAATTCAACTAAATTTGTGGAATAGTTCGGACTGTAGAAGAATTTGTTGCCCAAGTCCTATCTATATTTAGTAACAGTCGAATTGCACGATATCCGTTTGAGTGCGCAAGTCAGAAATATTGTCCACATGTTCTCACCGCCATCTTGCCATCGGACACATTCCCTCAACTTGTCTCAGTTGTAAATACTGTATGATGTATGCTGTTATATTAAAAGTTTAAAAAACACAACGTGAAGTTTACCCATACCTTTGTGGAGCACATATTCCCACAAAATTTGTACCATCAATATCTTTATTTTGTACCTTTCCCGTATATGCAACTTACTTCCTAACCGTTTAGCTGCCATTTTGAAAAAAGCAAAAAATATTTAAAATTTAATGCAGACCACATTTTCAATCCTGATTGTTCCCAAACATGTTTTAAAATGTAAGTAAGAAATATACGTAGGTCCTCAACAAGCCTTTTTTTGAAGTTTCAACTTTGTCTTTGCCCAATTTCCTGTCATTTTTTTTTCTACCAGGCCACATTTCAATTCCAACGTCATATCGCTCCTATTGTTTAGTGTTGTTGATGTTGTCTTATGTTGATGTTGTCTTATGTTGATGTTGTCTTCTTGTTGATGTTGTCTTCTTGTCGATGTTGTCTTCTTGTTGGTGTTGTCTTCTTGTTGGTCTTCTTGTTGGTGTTGTCTTCTTGTTGGTGTTGTCTTCTTGTTGATGTTGTCTTCTTGTTGGTGTTGTCTTCTTGTCGATGTTGTCTTCTTGTCGATGTTGTCTTCTTGTTGATGTTGTCTTCTTGTTGGTGCTGTCTTATGTTGATGTTGTCTTATGTTGATGTTGTCTACTTGTCGATGTTGTCTTCTTGTCGATGTTGTCTTCTTGTTGATGTTGTCTTCTTGTTGGTGTTGTCTTATGTTGATGTTGTCTTATGTTGATGTTGTCTACTTGTCGATGTTGTCTTCTTGTCGATGTTGTCTTCTTGTTGATGTTGTCTTCTTGTCGATGTTGTCTTCTTGTTGATGTTGTCTTCTTGTTGATGTTGTCTTCTTGTTGATGTTGTCTTATGTTGATGTTGTCTTCTTGTTGATGTTGTCTTCTTGTTGATGTTGTCTTCTTGTTGGTGTTGTCTTCTTGTTGGTGTTGTCTTCTTGTTGGTGTTGTCTTCTTGTTGGTGTTGTCTTCTTGTTGATGTTGTCTTCTTGTTGATGTTGTCTTCTTGTTGGTGTTGTCTTCTTGTTGCTTTTGTCATTAAAATCGTTTTTGAGTATATCTGTATTTTGCCATTATTAGAACCTATTCTGGAGTGCCAAAATGGTGGAAAGGTGGTGGAAGAAAATAATGCGTTCAAATGTTCTTGTTTACCAAATACATTCGGCGACGATTGCAGTAAGTTCAAACAAAAATATGTTATATTTTATGAAATGAAAATGAAAAATAAAATGTTGATAATAATAATAATAACAACAATTGTCTTAGCAAAATACAAAATGGCAAATACTTTACAGAATAACTGGGTGTAAATCTTCATTTTCAGTTTGATGTTAAATATTATTTCAAATTAATTCTCTTTTATAAAGGTTTAGGGCTTTGTGATGTTCAGTGTCTATGTCCACCTCAGTTTGCATGTACACCTGGAGCAAGCATCTTTGATACGCCCACCTGTGAATGCCCACCTGGCAAAATTGAGCCGTTTTGTGAAGGTAATAAATGATATCAATGATTATGTTTTAATGATATCAATAATTATGTTTAAATGATATCAATGCTTATGTTTGAATGATATCAATGATTATGTTTAAATGATATCAATGATTATGTTTAAATGATATCAATGATTATGTTTAAATGATATCAATGATTATGTTTAAATGATATCAATGATTATGTTTAAATGATATCAATGATTATGTTTGAATGATATCAATGATTATGTTTAAATGATATCAATGATTATGTTTGAATGATATCAATGATTATGTTTAAATGATATCAATGATTATGTTTGAATGATATCAATGATTATGTTTAAATGATATCAATGATTATGTTTAAATGATATCAATGATTATGTTTTAATGATATCAATGATTATGTTTAAATGATATCAATGATTATGTTTAAATGATATCAATGATTATGTTTTAATGATATCAATGATTATGTTTGAATGATATCAATGATTATGTTTAAATGATATCAATGATTATGTTTTAATGATATCAATTATTATGTTTAAATGATATCAATTATTATGTTTAAATGATATCAATTATTATGTAAAGTGTATTTCAAAGAAACTGATACTCATCAACTCTTGCAAAAGAGCTCCTTTCACCCAAAACATACCTTTTCTGCTATAATTAAGTCAAAAGTTTTACGATTTCACCGAATTTGCACAAGATCTTCTGATTTCATCCACTCTAAACGATATTTACGAAACATAAAAAATTCCACTTTAGCACAGATATCAGCTTTATGCCGAAGTACCTCCAGGTTCAGGGAGTGCTCCATGTTTATCCAGTAGATGCAAAACATAATTTATATATAGAGTTATCCCCCGTTATTACAATATAAACTTTAATTTATATTAAATTGAGTTATCTCCCTTTATAACAATATAAACTTTAAGTGATATATAGAGTTATCTCCCTTTATTACAATAAAAACTGTAATTGATGTATAAAATCGAGTTATCTCCCATTTTTACAATATAAACTGTAATTTTTATATAAAGTTATCTCTCTTTTTTACTGTATAAACTTTAATTTATATATATATAGAGTTATCTCCTATTATTACAATATAAACTCTAATTGATATATAGAGTTATCTGCCGTTATTACAAGATAAACTGTAATTGATATTAAATTGAGTTATCTCCCTCTATTACAATATAAACTTTAATTGATATATAAAATTGAGTTATCTCCCTTTATTACAATACAAACTGTAATTGATATATAGAGATATCTCCTATTATTACAATAAAAACTGTAATTGATATTAAATTGAGTTGTCTCCCTTTATTACAATATAAACTTTAATTAATATACAGAGTTATCTCCCATTATTACAATATAAACTTTAATTGACATCATTTTGAGTTATCTCCCATTATTACAATATAAACAGTAATTGATATATAAATTGAGTTATCTCCCTTTATTACAATATAAACTGTAATTGATATTAAATTGAGTTATCTCCTATTATTACAATATAAACTGTAATTGATATTAAATTGAGTTATCCCCCTTTATTACAATATAAACTTTATTTGATATGTAGAGTTATCTCCCATTATTACAATAAAAACTGTAATTGATATTAAATTGAGTTATCCCCCATTTATTCAATATAAAACAT